GTTTACTGTGTGGGAGATCCTGCTTACTTCTTAAGAGGTCCTGCTTACTTTTTGGGGACGCCCTCTAGTCTGTGCCAGGAGGTCCTGTTTACTGTTTGGGAGGTCCTGTTCACTTTTGCGGGGGTCCTGTTTACTCGTTGGGAGGTCCTTCCTGTTCACTTTGTGAGGGGTCCTGTTCACTTTTTTGGAGGTCCTGCTTACTTGTTGGGGGATCCTTTGGGAGGTCTTGTTTACTTGTTTGAGGGTCCTAGTTAGTTTTGGGGAGGTCCTGTTCACTTTTGGGGGGTTCGGTTTACTTCTTGGGAGGTCCTCCCTACTTTCTGGGAGACTTGTTGGCAGGTCCTCTTCACTTGTTGGCAGGTTCTGCTAACTCTTTGGGGGGTCCTGTTTACTTTCTGGGAGGTCCTGTTTCCTTTTTGGGGAGTTACTGTTTACTTGTTTGGGGAGTCCTGTGTACTTTCTGGGAGGTCCTGTTTACTTTTGTGGGAGGTCATGTTTACTGTTTGGGAAGTCCTGTTCAATTCTGGGGGGGGCCCTGTCTACTTTTAGGGAGGCCCTTTCCTTTCTTGAGATCCTGCTTACTTTTTGGAAGGTCGTGCTCACTCTTTGGGGGTCCTGATTACTTTTTGGGAGGTCCTGTACACTCTCTGGCAGGTCCTGTTTACTTTGTGAGAGGTCACGTTTACTTTTTGGGTGGTCCTGTTCACTTCTTGGGGGGTCCTGTTTATTTGTTTGGGGGGTCTGTTAACTTTGTGGGAGGTCCCGCTTACTTGTTGGGGGGGCCGTTTTCTTTGGCGAGGGATCCTGTTTACTTTTGGGGAGGTTCTGCTCACTTGTTTGGGAGGTCCTGTTCTCTTTTTTGGGGAGGTCCTGATGGCTTGCCGGAAGCTTAGGTTTCCTTTCTGAGGAGGTTCTGTGTACTTTTGGGGGAGGTCCTGGTTACTTTTTTGGGGGGTTCTGATTACTTTATTGGAAGGTCCTGTTTACTGTTTGGGAGGTCCTGTTTATGTTTTGGGAGGTCCTGTTTACGTTATGGGGGGTCCTGGGAGGTCCTGTTTACTTGATAGGGGGTCCTGTTTACTTTCTTGGGAGGTCCTGTTTACTTTGTGGGAGGTCCTGATTACTTGTTGGGGGACATGTTTGAGGGATCCTGTTCGCTTTTTGGGAGGTCAGGTTTACGTCTTTGGAGGTCCTGTTTACATTTAGGGGGTCTTGTTCCCCAATCAGAGCTTGCCTCTGTAGGGGTCCTAGCGCATTCATATGGTTACGTGAAGTTTGGCGCGCCGATTTCGGCGGCACGCCCGGGTGCCAGGGTGCCCGGGTGCCTGGGAGCCCGGGTGACCGGGGACCCGGTAACCCTTTAGCCCTATAGCCATGTAGCCTTATAGCCTTATAGAATTGCAGCCCTGTAGCCCTATAGCCCTATAGCTCTATAGCCCGATAGCCCTACAGCTCTAATAGCCCTAAAGCCCTAATAGCCTTAAAGCCCTGTAGCCCTATAGCCCCACAGCCCTATAGCCCTAAAACCCCATAGCCTTCTAGCCTTATAGCCTTATAGCCATATAGCCCTATGGCCCTATAGCACTATAGCCCAATAGCCCTGTAATCCTGTAGCCCTACAGCGCTATAGCCCTATAGCCCTACAGCCCTATAACCCCATAGCCCTACAGCCCTAAACAGATTATGATTGGGATTTTCTCCAGTATCATTTACTTGTTTCGAGGTCTTGCCTACTTTTAGGGAAACCCTGTTTACTCTTTTGGGAGGCCTGCAAATTTCCCCCACCCGACAGGTTGGGATTGTTAGATTTACCCGCTGGCCAACCCCACCCTGAATACCGCGGCCGGCAGACCCAAATTGTCCCGATGATCCCCGAGAGTCCCGGCTGTCACGCCTTGAGCCCTCAACGAACACGACTGAACACAACATGACACAACAAAACATGACAGAACGGAACAGAGCATGACAGAACATGACAGAACAGAGCATACCAATGCCATGACAGAGTAGAACACAACAAAACATCACAGAACATACCGGATAAGAACATGACAGAACAGAAGACGGCATGAAAAAACATGACATAACAGAGCCGAGCATAACATAACACATCTTGACATAACATTTCATATCATGACACAGCATCACAGAACAGACCAGAACGTGACAATTGAGCATAGCGACAACGAACACGACAGAACACAACATGGCACAACAGAACATGACAGACCACGGCAGAACATAATAGAGCAACGTCATGACATATTAGAGCACAACATAACATCACATAACATACCATAGCAAAACATGATTTAACAGAAAACGGCATAACACAGGATAACAAAACAGATCCTAGCATAACATGACACACCATGACACAACAGATCGTATCATGACACAGCATCACAGAACCCATCTGAGCGCGAGAGCAGAGCATAGCGACGACGAACACGACAGAACACAACATGACACAACACAACAGAACATGGAATAACAGAGCACGAGCATGCCATACCATGCCAGGGCATGGCATAACAAGGTCATGACAAAGTAGAGCATAACGGAACATCACATACCATACACGAGCATAACATGACAGAACATAAGATGTCATATAGCAACATAGCATGGCATAACCGATCATAACATAACACGCCTTGACAGATCATGTAATATCATACCAGTACACAACATCACAGAACATAGCATAACACGACAGCAGGGATTAGCGACATCTACTAGCAGAGCATACCATAATGTACTATACAGAACCGAGCCGTCAACAAACAGAACATCACACGACACACCATAACAGAAAATGACAGTACATAAGACATACCACAACATAACAAAACATAGCCGAGAAAAACATAGCACATCTTGCTATAAAATGCCCTACCGTGACGCAGCATCACACAACATTTCACAGCACGGCAGCAGAGCATAGCGACACATACTAGCAGAGCAGAGCATAATCCCATCAGCCCTCCGGGCGACAGTGGGTCAAACGATGCTTCTTCTTCCTCTTCCGCAACCCCTTCTTCCCTTTCGGGGAGGGGGGTGCCCTCCTCCTACAGTCGGCCCAGATTAGTAGGTCGACCCTGCCAAATCAAGAGTACCTTTGTGCCCTGTGTCTCGCGACCCATGCTTCCTACATTCCTGTGGCAATGTGGCCCTCGGAAGGGTCTTGTGTCCTCTCGCGTGTCCTGTCCAATCGAGTCCGTCTGTACCCCCTCCCCTGGACCAGGACGGGGGGTGTGATCGCGAGCGGTCAGGGCGTCCAAGATAACCTGAGATGGCCCCACGAGGGCCTCAGAGAGCCCAAGATGGCCTCCAAGATCGCTCAAGATAGCCAGGAGGAGGAGGAGGAGGAGGAGGAGGAGGAGGACAACATGGCTCAAGATAGCTAACAACATGCCTCTAAGAGGCCCCAGGAAGGCCACAAGACGGATCCAAGTGCTCTTGGCGACCCCTCAAGACCTCCCCGAGAAGCCAACATTCTTCAAAAACTTAGGAAGACCAATGATTTGCGCCTTCTCGCCTTTTCGCTTCCGATGTGCTTTTGAGGACTCAAGATGGCCCGAACATGGCCCCCGAAAGCTCCAAGAAGGGCCCAAGAGGCCCCCAAGATCGGCCCAGGATTGCCCAAGATCGGCCCAAGAGGGCCCCAAGAGCGCCCCAAGAGGCTATTTCGATGGCCCTGGAGGGGGGGAGGCAAATCGAGGACCCCCCATCCCTTGATCGATGATCTCCAAGATGGCCCCAGGAGGTGCTCCATAGCCATAGCTCCCAAGGGGGCCCCAAGAGAGCCCCAAGAGGGCCCAAGAGGGCCCCATGAGGGCCCCAAGGCGCCCCAAAATAGCCCCAAGAGGACCCCAAGACCCCCAAAGAGCACCAAGAGGGCCCCAAGATGCCCCGAAAAAGCACACAAAAATCTCCCAACACAACCCAGTAGCCCTGTCAAGGGCCCTCTTGAGGGCCTCTGGAGCCGTCGTGAGATCTCTTGCTTGGACCGTCTCGAGGACACCTGAGGCTCTCTTGGGGCCGTCTTGGTGCCCTCTTGGGCCTTTTTGGGGCCCTCTTGGGACGTTTTGGGGCCCTTGAGCCGCTTCACTCGAAAAAATATTAGGAAACGGGCCATGGAAGCCGCCCGGGGGCCGCTTCACTCGAAAACATACGAAAGAAGCGGCCCCCGGGCGGCCATCACAACCATCCCCCCGGTCCTCGCCCCTCCCCGGGACCCCTCCCTAGAGGGCTTCGCCCCAGCTCAGCTTCGCCCCTCCCCTGGAACCCCTCCCTGGAAGGCTTCGCTCCCCAAGAGCGTCATCACTCGTACCTCGCTCTTTCCGTTACTTTTCGCCCGCGCACCGCTCCTCCCCCGGAACCCCTCCCTAGAGAGCTTCGCCCCACCAGAACGTCATCGCTGGTACCTCCCTCGTTCCGCTACCTGCTTGGCACGGGGACGGAAAGCGCGTATACTTCGTGAGGGCGCGATGTCGCTTGCTTAGGGTCTTGGAGCCCTGCTGCTGTTGAGGCCTTAGTGCGACAAGCAAGAGTCGATCAACAAACCTAGCAGGAATCAATGAAGATTGCATTTCTGCGCCCTCCTGGGGATCCTTGTGGGGCTATTCTGGGCCCTCTGGGGCCGACCTGGGGCCCTTTTGGGCCGCGTGCTGAGGCGCCACCTCTGCTCACATCTACAGCGCGTGCGGCGCGGCCAACCTGCCGCCGCCAGCCCTACCACACTGCCTGGGGGTCACGGGGCGCCTCCTTCCTGCGGCCCAGCACTGCCGCTGGTGGCAGGCCTCTGCCTTCTCTCCACGCCCGCCGCGTCCAGGCGCGGCGCCACGCCCTCCTCTGCTCTAATCGCCGCAGTTGCCTTCTCCCGCCCTTCCTTTGCCTTTGCCCTTGTGGCCCTTGCCTCTGCAGCTGGTGCCGTTCCTGTCCTCTGCCTCTGCCTCTGCCTCTGCCTCCTCCTCCTCCTCCTCCTCCTCGTCTTCTCAAGCCTGTTCCGCGCGAAGCTCGGCGCCGGCCGCCACCTCTTCGCGCACGAACTTCGCGTATAGGAAGTAGCCAACGAGGAACGTTTCAGCCACGAACAGCACGAAGGCGGTGCCAAGAAGGACAGCCTGCTCCATCTCCGGCGTCTTGCTCCAGGACTCACCCGCGAGCCACACCGCAGCCACCATGCCGAGGGCCAACACCGCGAGCGCTCTCTGTTCGACGCGGTTCAGCGCGCTGTTCGCGTACGGGTGACACGCGCTGTGCCCGAAGAGGAAGAGGCCCATCACCACGAGGGCAAGAGCCAGCTTCTGGCCCGGGCAGTAGGATGCCGGCGACATCGCAGAGATCGCGGCGAGCGCCATGGACTTGCACAGGCGGCATGCCTCCCAACTCGCTGGGCCAACGGGCCAGAGGCGTGCTAAGATCTCCGGCGCCAGCTTCAGAGAATGCTCCTAGCTTCAGGTCGGGCGTGTTCCCCAACAGGCGGATTTTGGCGAAACATAAGAACTACCCTGGCGACGTACCCACGCCCTGCGCAATGTGGGGCATGAATAGCTTGGGCGACTTGCTAAGGAGGCGATGACGAGACAAGGGCGAATTGTATGTCTGCGACCAGCATTTGGGAGGTCACATTTGAATCCGCCGCGGGGCTCCACTATGCTGGTAGCCCTAGGAGCCTTCGAAAGTGGCGACTGTTTCACAGATCGCAGCCCCCCAGGGATGGCGAGGTCCCATTTGAATCTGCGTGGCATGTCACTATGCTGGACCCCCCAGCAGCCCTCGAAAGTGGCGACAGTTTCACAGATCGCACCCCCCAGGGATGGCGAGGTCCCATTTGAATCTTCGTAGGACGTCAGCATACTGCCCCCCCCCCCAGCAGCCCTTGAAAGTGGCGACTGTTTCACAGATCGCAGCCCCCTCCAGGGATGGCGAGGTCCCATTTGAATCTGCGTAGGACTTCACTATGCTGGACCCCCCGGCAGCCCTCGAAAGTGGCGACTGTTTCACAGATCGCAGCCCCCCAGGGATGGCGAGGTCTAATTTGAATCTGCGTAGGACGTCACTGTGCTGCCCCCCCAGCAGCCCTCGAAAGTGGCGAGTGTTTCACAGATCGCAGCCCCCCAGAGGTGGCGAGGTCGAATATGAATCTGCGTAGGACGTCTCTATGCTGGAATCTGCGTAGGACGTCACTATGCAAGACCCCCCAGCAGCCCTTGAAAGTGGCGACTGTTTCACAGATCGCAGCCCCCCAGGGATGGCGAGGTCCCATTTGAATTTGCGTAGGACGTCATCATGCTGGACCCCCCAGCAGCCCTCGAAAGTGGCGACTGTTTCACAGATCGCAGCCCCCCAGGGATGGCGAGGTCCCATTTGAATCTTCGTAGGACGTCAGCATACTGCCCCCCCCCCCCGCCCTCCCAGCAGCCCTCGAAAGTGGCGACAATTTCACAGATCGCAGCCCCCCCGAAATGGCGAGGTCCCATTTGAATCTGCGTAGGACGTCACTATGCTGGACCCCCCAGCAGCCCTCGAAATTGGCGACTGTTTCACAGATCGCAGCCCCCTCCAGGGATGGCGAGGTCCCATTTGAATCGGCGTGGGACTTCACTATGCTGGACCCCCGAGCAGCCTTCGAAAGTGGCGACAGTTTCACAGATCGCAGCCCCCCAGGGATGGCGAGGTCGAATTTGAATCTGCGTAGGACCTCACTCTGCTGCTCCCCCCAGCAGCGCTCGAAAGTGGCGACTGTTTCACAGATCGCAGCCCCCCAGAGATGGCGAGGTCGAATGTGAATCTGCGTAGGACGTCACCAAGCTGGAATCTGCGCCGACGTCACTATGTTGGACCCCCCAGCAGCCCTCGAAAGTGGCGACAGTTTCACAGATCGCAGCCCCCCAGGGATGGCGAGGTCAAATTTGAATTTACGCAGGACGTCACTATACTGCCCCCCCCAGCAGCCCTCGAAAGTGGCGACTGTTTCACAGACCGCAGCCCCCCAGGAATGGCGAGGTCCCATTCGAATCTGCGCAGGACGTCACTATGCTGGACCCCCCAGAAGCCCTCAAAAGTGACGACAGCTTCACAGATCGCAGCCCCCCAGGGATGGCGAGGTCCCATGTGAATATGTGCACGACGTCACTATGCTGCCCCCCCCAGCAGCCCTCGAAAGTGGCGACAGTTTCACAGATCGCAGCCCCCTCCAGGGATGGCGAGGTCCCATTTGAATCTGCGTAGGACGTCACTATGCTGGACCCCCCAGCAGCCCTCGAAAATAGAGACAGTTTCACAGATCGCAGCCCCCCAGGGATGGCGAGGTCGAATTTGACGCCGCGTAGGACCTCACTATGCTGCCCCCCCCCCCCCCCAGCAGCCCTCGAAAGTGGCGACAGTTTCACAGATCACAGCCCCCCGCAGGCAAGACAGGAGGAGGCAGGAGGAGCCAGGAGGGAGGCGGGAGGACGACGCGGCCTCGGCGGGAGGAGGCAGGAGGGAGGCGGGAAGGAGGAAGCACGGACCCCCAGTGCACTATTCAAAACGAATACCCAACCAAGGAGGGTTGGGAAAGATTCAAACTTATCCCGACCAGGCAACCTAACAGCGATGTGTAGGAGCATATCTGGAAGCATTCCCCTTAAGATTCACATGAGAATCCAGTTGAAATTCCGCTGTTCTCGCAGTCGCAGTCGCATTCGCGATGACAGTCGCAGTGGCAACGGCAGTCGCAGTCACAGCCTCAGCCTCAGCCTCAGTCTGCCTCAGCATCAGCCTACCTCAGCCTCAGCCTCAGCCTGCCTCAGCCTCAGCCTCAGCCCGATTCACCCTCAGCCTCAGTCTGCCTCCAGCCTCGGCCTCAGCCTCAGCCTGCCTCAGCCTCAGCCTGCATCAGCCTCAGCCTCAGCCTCAGCCTGCCTCAGCATCAGCCTGCCTCAGCCTCAGCCTCAGCCTGCCTCAGCCTCAGCCTCAGCCTGCTTCAGCCTCAGCCTCAGTCTGCCTCAGCCTGCCTCGGCCTCAGCCTGCCTCAGCCTCAGCCTGCTCAGCCTCAGCCTCAGCCTGCCTCAGCCTCAGCCTCAGCCTGCTTCAGCCTCAGCCTCAGTCTGCCTTCAGCCTCGGCCTCAGCCTCAGCCTGCCTCAGCCTCAGCCCGCATCAGCCTCAGCCTCAGCCTCAGCCTGCCTCAGCATCAGCCTGCCTCAGCCTCAGCCTCAGCCTGCCTCAGCCTCAGCCTCAGCCTGCTTCAGCCTCAGCCTCAGTCTGCCTTCAGCCTCGGCCTCAGCCTCAGCCTGCCTCAGCCTCAGCCTCAGCCTCAGCCTCAGCCTCAGCCTCAGCCTCAGCCTGCCTCAGCATCAGCCTGCCTCAGCCTCAGCCTCAGCCTCAGCCCTCAGCCTCAGCCTGCTTCAGCCTCAGCCTCAGTCTGCCTTCAGCCTCGGCCTCAGCCTCAGCCTGCCTCAGCCTCAGCCTCAGCCTGCCTCAGCCTCAGCCTCAGCCTCAGCCTCAGCCTGCCTCAGCATCAGCCTGCCTCAGCCTCAGCCTCAGCCTGCCTCAGCCTCAGCCTCAGCCTGCTTCAGCCTCAGCCTCAGTCTGCCTTCAGCCTCGGCCTCAGCCTCAGCCTGCCTCAGCCTCAGCCTGCATCAGCCTCAGCCTCAGCCTCAGCCTGCCTCAGCATCAGCCTGCCTCAGCCTCAGCCTCAGCCTGCCTCAGCCTCAGCCTCAGCCTGCTTCAGCCTCAGCCTCAGTCTGCCTCAGCCTCGGCCGCAGCCTCAGCCTGCCTCAGCCTCAGCCTGCCTGCATCAGCCTCAGCTGCCTCCTCAGCCTCAGCCTCAGCCCTCAGCCTCAGCCTCAGCCTGCTTCAGCCTCAGCCTCAGTCTGCCTTCAGCCTCGGCCGCAGCCTCAGCCTGCCTCAGCCTCAGCCTGCATCAGCCTCAGCCTCAGCCTCAGCCTCAGCCTGCATCAGCATCAGCCTGCCTCAGCCTCAGCCTCAGCCTCAGCCTGCCTCAGCCACAGCCTGCATCTCAGCCTCAGTATGCCTTCAGCCTCGGCCTCAGCCTCAGCCTGCCTCAGCCTGAGCCTGCATCAGCCTCAGCCTCAGCCTCAGCCTGCCTCAGCCTCAGCCTGCCTCAGCCTCAGCCTCAGCCTGCCTCAGCCTCAGCCTCAGCCTGCCTCAGCCTCAGCCTCAGCCTCAGCCTCAGCATCAGCCTGCCTTCAGCCTCAGCCTCAGCCTCAGCCTGTCTCAGCTTCAGCCTGCCTCAGCCTCAGCCTCAGCCTCAGCCTGCCTCAGCATTGAAAATGTGGCCTGGGAATGGAGTTCTGGGAACTCGAAGAACACGAAGTGGCCTACAGTTGGCTCCGGGCATTCAAAATCATGTCCAGGAATAAAGTTCTGGGAACTCGAAGACCACGAATTGGCCTACAGTTGGCTCCGGGCATTCAAAATCATGCCCAGGAATGGAGTTCTGGGAACTCGGAGACCACGAAGTGGCCTACAGTTGGCTCCGGGCATTCAAACTCATACCCAGGAATGGAGTTATGGGAACTCGAAGACCACGAAGTGGCCTACAGTTGGCTCCAGGCATTCAAAATCATGCCCAGGAATGGAGTTCTGGGAATTCGAAGGCCACGAAGTGCGTTACTGTTGGCTAAAAAAAGAGTCCCCGGATTCCCGCGGCACCCGTCCGGATCCTGCCCAGACCCCCCTGGGGAGTCAAGATGCCTTCTTTCGACCCCACCAGAAACCTATCAGTCTTCGCTGTTACGTAAAATGCACCAAAATGGCAGGAAAATGCTAAACATATCGTCCCCAGACTACGGAGGTACGTACCGGAACAAACTTTCGGACTGCCCATCGGGGCGTGGGGGAGTCGGGGAGTCGGGGAGTCGGGGAGTCGGGGAGTCGGCCAGTCGGGGAGTCGGGGAATCGGGGAGTCGGGGAGTCGGGGAGTCGGGGAGTCGGGGAGTCGGGGAGTCCGGGAGTCGGGGAGTCGGGGAGTCGGAGAGTCGGTCAGTCGGGAAGTCGGGGAGTCGGCCAGTCGGGGAATCGGAGGGTCGGGGAGTCGGGGAGTCGGGGAGTCGGTCAGTCGGGAAGTCGAGGAGTCGGCCAGTCGGGGAGTCGGAGGATCGGGGAGTCGGGGAGTCGGGGAGTCGGTCAGTCGGGAAGTCGAGGAGTCGGCCAGTCGGGAAATCGGAGGGTCGGGGAGTCGGGGAGTCGGGGAGTCGGTCAGTCGGGAAGTCGAGGAGTCGGCCAGTCGGGGAGTCGGAGAGTCGGGGAGTCGGGGAGTCGGAAAGTCGGTCAGTCGGGAAGTTGGGGAGTCGGCCAGTCGGCGAGTCGGGGAGTCGGGGAGTCGGGGAGTCGGCCAGTCGGGGAGTCGGG